GTGGCTATACCAGATGAAATGAACTGTCAAATACACATTTCAAGCTGACTACAGTACAGAATGAAACAATTTGTTATTACATATGTTCCTCTTGACACTTGATATGCAACATTTCAGATGATAGTAGCGCCTTGAAATGTTACAAATCAAGTGAGTACACAATTACTTTACAATTTGAAACACAAAATGAAAAGTGGATACAATTCGCATTTACAAAAAAAAATGCCTGTGTACGTTTAGCACAACCAAAAGGTCAGATAAATCAATCAAGACATTTAAATCAGACAGGCTTGGAATTTATCTATAGCAGACATGGTATTTACCATGTATCAATCAGAACTGTCCGAGCAAAGACACTATAACAAAAAAGCCACATCATCAGTTCAACCAAACTGAACTTTTAAATTACAATTCCCACATTGTCGTGCTGACCTTTCAACAACTTTTCTAGGTTTAAAGTCAACTGGTAGAGTAGGTTCGCTTTTTAAAAAAGATTGAATAAATTCATGTTCTGAAGGTATACACTGTCCTAATCACAGAACGGGCAGTTATAAGCTTATAAAAGTAAAAAAAATTCTACTGCCATGTGTACTTTACAGCCCGTTTTAAATCTCTGGATTAATTTTCCCCCTATCCACTGAAGCATTTTATGATTGCGTTACAAGCAGCTGCCCTGAAACCAGAATTTATTTATGATCTTAGCACGTTTATTGTTCATTAGCATTCATTTTCAAACTTGTTTTCAGAGTATCTAGAAAGGGTACAAGGATAAAGTTTGTCATATTGATCATCGTCTTAACTAAGGAGCTTCTGGACAAATAAAAGATAAAGGCGGACGCCAGGCGTGTGGGAGGGCACTACTAAATTGTTTTTATCCCATGAATGGAATAATATGATTGTTAAAGAGATGAAAAACTGACTGACGGAAACTGATCAGCATCACAAGCAAGATTACAGTTCATATCCTCTAAAGAGTAACTCATACTGGGATACATGGCTATTGATTCCACTTCAGTCTTAATCCAGCGCCTTATCTATGTGGCACTCCTTTGAAGCAAAGCCTAAACAGTGAGGACTGGCAAGTTTCACAGCCTTTTGGGAGAAAAGGGGAAACCAGTTGATTTAAATTTTGTTCTCACAACATCCATGCACTTTTTAAGCAGCAAGTGAGTGATAGCAAACAGGAGCAGCAACCTTGGTTAAATTTCCATTCCATAACCCAGGGCATGAAGGCCAATTGTCGTCCATCTACCACTGTAGCTGAGATGGGTTAAGTGGAGACCAGGGACCAAAGTTGGCATCTTCCTATCCTGGATGCTCAGGTCAGTAATGGATAGTGTCATTTACCAACTGAGCCATCGGGGAGATGTAAAATTGGAACTTTCAATGGAAATTACATGTGTGCAAATTAGGAATCTGTCGAATGGTTTATTCTGCACAGAGACATCTGGTTTAATTGTCTCCCCGCTATGATATAACAATAATGAATGCTGTGATGATTCAGCAGTTGAAATGAACTGTGTAGGATGGCACTGAGTCACACCGAATATACGATGCAATTCCCTGGAATTTTAATGAGTCACATGAGCACAGTCAGGGCTGGAGGTGGAAACAACACAACTGTCTTCCCTGTGCCTTGGCGAGGAAAAGGAGACAACAGATTTGGTGCCAGCAGCCAAATCATTATGCAGCAACTTTGGTAGATGTGTGGATAGAAAAATTTAGATTTTAGTCTTTAAAAGCAGATATGTTCATGTTTCAAGACTCCCAGTGACCCACCTCCTCCAATGTAGGGCGATTCCAGTGGAGGAACCTGGTGTTCAAGTGTTCAGAGTGTTCATTCCTGCCCCAGATGGTAAACAATAACAATGCTTGCATTTGATATAGCGCCTTAATACGCTGTTGAGACATCTCGAAGCTCTTCACAGAACATATTGTAAAGTGGATCGGCAGCTTATTGCGTACAGTAGTGTCCCACAAACAGTCGTGGATTGAGTGACCAACTTTTTTCCCGGGGGGGGGGGGGGGATTATTAACCCCAGAAAGCGATCCATCAATCAATGGAACAACTCTACGATGCAGCAGAGCAGTCGAACACTAGAGGAGATGGTTTGAGGATTTCTCGCTGAGAGTCAAAAGAAACAAGAATATAATTTTCTAATACTGTGGCGGGGGGAGGAGAGAAAGGAAGCACTTTGAATACAGCGAGTATTTCTTCTAGACTAGTCTTTCCTTCTAATAAAAAGTTAACATTGTTTTTATTTTTTATAAAACTGCCACAATTCTGCAATAAAGCTCTTATAAATATAAAATCTGTTTTAGACACCATTCTTATTTTTTAATGCATAGCTCAATGGCAGATGTATCAGGCAGAACTACAACAAGTCTATCTCAAGTCTATCTGAAATTATACAGTGCAATTTGCTGCAAACGTTTATTTTTAACACAAGAAAAATAAAAATCTACATCATAAAAGTTATAAGAAACAAGAGATTTTATATTTGAGAAATGAAGCAATACTTTTTTTTGAAAGAGAAATCCTGATTGTAACAGAAAGCCATCTAATACATTCAATGCATTCTCTTTTAAATTAAATCAATAAATCAGCTTTTCACAGAGAGAAAATAAGGTATCTGCTTAAGATAGGCAGCTGTTTATGAATGAGTGCCAAATGTTTCACAAATGCTGATTAGTCCTGGGCCTTTTCAAATTCAAACTCCATCTCATTGAAGAGATTGAAACCTTTGCATTCAATAAAGAAATCAAATAAAAAAATTCAAGAGTTGTATGATATTGTACTACACTACCTTTTTACTGTAAACATGCATGCTGTTTTGTTTGGTCTAATTTTAATTTGGTCACAATTTCCTAGCGTATATGATCTTGAAACGCAGCTAACTATGTTGCTAAGGTGCACAATATTTACCACTGTAAAGCTGTCATTGTTGTTTGCTTATTTTATAGCCATAATGTGAACAAATATGGTATGTAAACAGAGTATATAGCAAGCTGTCAAATACAATGAACCAAGTCAAAGTCAACTGAGCAATGCTCAGTTGGACATTCATAGACTACTCACATGAAGGAACACCAAAATATCCCCAGAATAGGTTACATTATCACCTTTTTGAGGCTGTTAAAAGGAATCCAGTTGTATAGATTAAAAAAATCTTTTTTTTTTAAAAAGAGAAGAAAAATACGTAATCAGCAGTGCGACAGCAAAGTTGATGGTAGTACCTGCACTTCTACTACAACAAAAGAATCTCTGATAGAAAAATAACCCAAACAAAACTGAAGATAGTATAATTTTGTTTCAAATATCTTTTTTTCTGTAAGACAATTAAAATTACAGGTTCCAGTGCTCAATATCAGTAAAACTGCAGATTCATATTTCCTTATTTGTAAAGTAGAAACCCCAAATTTCAATTCCACCATTTTGTAAACTCAGCTTTACTGGTTACTTCTCGAGTTACCTGATTCAACACCCACTACACTGATAACCTGAAAGAAACACCACCCAAAGACTGAGTTGAACGGAATCCCTTTACATTGATAATTCAGCTTTGGAAACAAATGAAGCTCATCTCAGAAACAATAAATAAAACAGAAAAAATGGATAACTTAGAAAGTGCCCGTGTCCGCCAGATTATTTGGTCATTCGCCTCTTGGCTGTTTATGGTTTATTACTGGCACAAATAAGTGCCATGTTAAATGACAACAAAGGTTAGTACACTTGACAGTAAACATTGCAAGTACAAAAGCCTTTGAGAAGCAATTGAAGACTTTAAAACTGTTCTCTCTAATAGGCAGCATAAGCAATCCATCTCCCCAAATTTCTTTTAAAAAAACAACCAAGCTTATACAAGGAGCTGCACACTATCCAATGAACAAAGGTCCGTCACCAGGGACATGAGGCGCAGGTGATTTATTAGCACCTGTGACGAACGTGAATTATGTACTTTACACACCTTCAAACAGTTATTTCCAATGTAGTATTTCTTTCCTGACACTGCTTTTTGGATTGTGAAATTAACACAGCTATTAAAATACTGACAAAATAGGTCAACATTTTCAGCAGAAAATACAGTTATCCATAGAATCAGGCTCAATATTCACCACCATGGCAATAGTACTAAGAATTTTATAAACCATTACTAAAAACCATTACTATGAGGCTATATTATTCTGCACTCCAATCATTTTTGATAAATTAACATGCACATGCAACATAACTGTGTTGTTTTGCAGGAACTGTCAAAGGAATAGAATGATTGATACAAAAAAAATGGATTATATTTAATTCACACTACGTTTTGAATAATAAAAATCTGCTCAACACTTAAATGATGTCTTGCTGTAACTCTGGTTGTTTGGGCCCATAAAAAGTAACTGTATGGTGGGACAAAACTGAGGGCAAATCCAAACTCTTTAATAAGAATAGCAAAAAGGACAGCAAAGAGAATAGCAAAACACACAAATAATGCAACTGGTATTAACAACAACAAATTATACTTGTATAGTGCCCTTCACATTGGAAAGACGTTGCAGGGCGCATTAAGAAGTGAATGACATTGCAAAAGGAAAAAGAAAATGAAGATGACCAATAATGGACTACAGCAGGAACCACAAGTCTAATGTGCTACTGCGTGACATAATAAATAATAATCCTTGCATTTGATATAGCGCTTTTCACATCTTCTAGACACCGCAAAGCACTTCACAGAATATACTGTAAAGTGAACTGACTATATTTTGTGGGCGAAACGCGGGAGCCAATTGCGTACAGCAGTGTCCAACAAACAGTCGTGAATTGAATGACCAAATTATTATTATTTTTTTTCCTTGAGGGATTACCAGGCGCATGGAGTAAGGAAACTTGCCCAAGGTTTCATATATCCAAATTCAGTGTACAGAAGTGCATAATAAACAAGGCTGCAATGCATTTCGAAGACGAACAGAAAAGCAATTGCAAACCAACATTGACAATTACGTTCATTTACCTCTATACGGCTCTGCTTCAATTATTCCCTCCATAGGGCCGTCACAACTGTTAGAAACGATTCTGGTTTCTTTTAGGCCTGAACTGCCAGTCATCATGTGCTTCAAGTCCTGGGGTAAATGAGAAAAGAGATGTTGACCTAGACGAATTTCCCAAATAAGAGCACACCTCGGCATTTTGCACAGTTAACAAAGTTTTCAGAGATGCCACTTGTTCGGGCGCGATCACACTGGAAGAACTTGAGACTTTGAACTGCATCATCACTGAGCTAATTGTTACATCAAACAATAGCAGAGCTCTCTGAGAAGGTAACTCAATGTGGAGAACTCACTTTTCAGACCCAAGTGATGTTAATCAGCTACATTTACTAATTTTTTCACAGGAGAAACTGGCACCAAAATAATTCCCCCCCCCCCCCTTGTACTTATACCAAACATGGGGTAACAATCAACGTAAAACTAAATTTTTTAAGCAAAGAATTCTTAAATTAAATTCTTAACCTCTTGATTCATTGTTAGGTTTTGAACAAACATTAAATTATCCTTGAGAAGAATATCAGGACCAATTCAGAGACTGGTCAATGTGGAGCTTTCAGAACTAATCCACTTCCAAAAGCACATGGTCTGGATGGAAAACTCCCCTGGTTCCGTGACAAGTGGATCCACTGACACAGGAACGTTATTGACAACCTCTGAAAAACAAGATTTTGTAGACCAAAAGTGTGCATTGGTTCATGTATGCAAGATTGTGCGCGTGTGTGTATATATATATTATATAATACACACACGGATATACACATACATACACGTACAAACATACACATACATACCTTTCTGGGGGTTGATAATTCCTTAAAATAATAATAATATGGTCACTCAATCCTGTTTGTGGGACACTGTTGTGCGCAATCGACTGCTGCGTTTTGCCCACAAAAAATAGTCAATTCATTTTACAGTATATTCTGTGAAGTGCTTTGAGATGTCTTGAAGGCGAGATAAGGCGTTATATCAAATACAAGGTTATTATATATGTGTATATATATATATACATACATGCAGATATATATATATACATAGTAAGGTTCCTATTTACTGCTTGGTAAACAGAGGCGTGTGGAATAAGGACATTTGCCCAACGTTTCGGCCTGCAGGAAATCAAACCCAGGTCTCTCTCTTGCGAGGCAAGTGCTCTAACCACTGAGCTACAGGACTCCATATATATGAATAAGAGAGGGGGAAGGAGTCTTATCAATACCACCTTCACTCCCTCTCTCTGTGAACAAAGGATTTGGAAAGGGGTGCAGGAATGTATAGAGGAACTATTCTCTTTCAATACAACGGTTGTCAGCAACTCTTTAAACAAGTTGGGATCTGTATGTTCCCTCAAACTGGAAGTGCATCCAAATGTACAGCACAGAGAACGTAGCAAATGACATTGACAATATGGATACCATCTTTCAGGCTAAACAGAAGAGCGTTCAATCTGAAATGTACTGTATTTTGGGAATGCACAAATTATTGGTTGTGCTAAATGAGGGAAACAGTACATAAAAAGGTCACACATTTTACATAAGAGACACAGATTTGTTTTTTTTAAAAAGAAATTCGGGAGCTGAATCTAAATAAACCCTTCACACAATAAACACAACATGTTAGTTAGTACCTTAGCACACAAATTAAGAACGTGAATGCTTCAAACCTGTCAGAAATGATAAGATACCCTCCTCATATACCATTAGAAAGGTGACCTTGCATTCGCACAGAAGATTCAGAAAGCTAGCAATTCATCTCTAAGGTTTGTTTTCAAGTCACTACCCAAAACACTAATAAAAAAAACTTGAATCAAGTTACATATTGTAGAATATTGAAGGACATTCAAAGCATTCTTGTAATTTCAAAGTTCAAACATGACTACATGATCCTAGGCACTAAATGTAGTCGTCATATTGAATTGTTCAGTCTCAAGTCTAAGGAGTCTTTACAGTTATGAAGGTCATGTGGAACACAGACAGAAAAAAAAATACCTCCCTAAATTCTATAAGCTCCAAAATGTCATTAAACGGTGATGTTTTAAATCGATAAGACTGTGTGTGCACAAGACTGTCTTAAATATTTTTTATATTACACACAAGCCCACATACGTCATCTGTCCAGCACGTCATTTGTTCTGTGACTACCACCATCAGCATTGATTTTCAGAGATTTACTGCCATCTGTACAGTCAGAACCAACATTCTTTTATGGTTGGAATACAATTGGCAGAGCTACAACTGCAGGTATAATTTAAATAGCAAAATGACTCCATTTTCTGAATGTAACCAAATTACATCTGGGTGTTTCATAGAGCATTACCATATCAATACCAATGATGAAATGTGTAAAGGAAAAGTGCATTGTCAAGCACTTTACATGGAAAAAAATCATTACGGAAGAGCACGAAACATTGTTTCTTTCAGAATAAGCAATTATAAGATTCTTTAAGGCAATAGATCTCCCTTTTGCTCATATATTCTGAGCTATACATCAACTGCAACTGAGGATATTAAGAAATCACCACACTAAGCACTAAGGGAATTTGTTCCTCACATTTTTTCTCCATCCACAAATAAGAAACTGGAGATAGCTCTTAATGCTTCCCCTCAGCAATGTATCTTAGATTATAGGAGGCTATTTAACACCTTATAATGTATTTGAGTCCATTTAGTCATCAAGATTAAAATTTGTTAATGAATACAAGGAATTAGAACTGGCTCAGTATTTTGCATATTATGTCAGATACTGCACAGAATAGACCACAACTATTCTTTTACACTGTATCAATTATCTGACAATCCAACCCTCAAATACATCTCCCACAACACCAGTTATCCTTTCCTTATCCTTAATGACTGAAACCAAATGCATAGTGCCATGACAAAGGATGCTTTGCAATGTAGGGAAAAGCTCTACAATTTCACATCCATTTCTTTTTTTCCCAGTTTCAATCGCTTTCTGTGAGTAATAAACCCTTCAAAAAATAAATTAAAAATTTTTTTGGTCACTCAACCCACAACCGTTTGTGGGACACTGCTGTGCGCCATTGACTGCCGGGTTTCGCCTACAAAATATACAGTGACTACGCTTTACAGGATAACCTGTGAAGCGCTTTGAGATGTCTCGACGACGTGATAAGACGCTATATCAAATGCAAGGGTTATTTATTTATTTGCATGGAGGCTTCATATTTACTGAGAACTTGATTGTTCCAATTGGGACTCTCTTAACTTTCAGAAAGAGGAGGCTATTCTTTACACAAATTATTAACAAGCTTACAGATAGAGCCAACCATTCATTCACTCATCTCACCACCGAGTTACTCAATATTCAGTACCTCCAGTTTTATGTTTTTCTGTGTGGAGCAATAACTTTGTGTGGAGGCAGAAGTCAGAACACAATGCAGTCACATTTGAAAAACACTGCCATTTAGTAAACTGATCTCCAGTTTCGTGCAAAAAGTTAAACTAGCCAATAGGTACATAGAATACCAAACCTGAAGCTTACTTCAAAATGGTGAAAAAAACGTTTCGTTGAACAAATTAAAACTACAGGGACAAGAGATTGTGGAATAATGGGAACCACAAAATGCCATTTCAATCCCAACTGCCACCAACTGCTTAAAACAATTGCTGCAAACCTAAACAGAAAGTCTATTTATCATTTCTAGGATTTCTGTGTGCAGAGTGCCTACTGGACTCGAGCTGTATTTTGTGAAGTGATTTTTTTTGATAGTGCACATCTTTGTATTTCTTAGACAGGAACACTGATATATAACCAAAGCTGGTTATCAGATCAGATGAATACCAAATTACAAAACTATATATGGTTTTAGTGCACTGCCTCTGGAAACCAGACTGCTACTTTATTGATGATGAAACTATAGCGCTCGAAGATCTGGTGTGTTTTGCACTGCTCCTCACCACACATTTCGTCCCAACTAAATTTAAAGGTGCAAGGCCCATGGTGTAAAAATCTACATCTTCGTATTGGATGATTTTTCAGCCGTTTTATTAAGTGGGTAACATCTTCCAGCTCCTACCTAGGTAGTAGGAAAACAGTATTTAATATGGGAATTAACAAACTCGGTTAAAGTGTAATCACAACATGGGTCCTTAGAGCTCCAGTTAAACAAAATGGTACCACAGATTGCACAATTTAGGTGGCTGCAATAAAATACTTTGAATTACTCATCATGCATAACTTTTTTTTTCACAAAAAACTCTGCCCCTACCAAATTAAGAGAAATCACATGTAGACTCACTAGATCAGGCATCACTATTGGTCAGAAGCAAGCTACCTACGTTTGCCAGAAAGCTCCTCATAGGAAGAGCATGTATTAGCTAATCACTGTCAATGATATGGAAGTCCAGGAGCAGTATTCAAGACAAGGAAGAGATTCTACACATACAAGAGTCACAGTGTGCAGATCTGGTTCGCGGTGGCTCTCTTCTAAACCAGCGACTTGAAATGATAAACTCCAGCAGTCTACCAGCATGAATTGAATGCGGTGGGATTGCCAGTCAACAGAACAATTTCCCTTTCAAAAAAAAATTAAAATAGGAACAACATGCCTCCTCAAATATTAGGACCAGACTAAACTCGAATTTGTTCTAACCATTTTGTGCTGAGCAAGTATAGATAATATTAGTGCATATAGTGTCTACTAGAAACATGATTGGATAAATATCTTGCACAATATGGACTTCATGCGCTCCGAGAATCAAGCTGGCATTTGAACACTCTACACTAGCGCTGAAAGACATCAGCCTTAATGAAATGCAGTCTGGTGGATTTGAAAATCAGCGCCTGGAAGGGACATCAGGCAGCAAGTTTCGGCTGTTCAATCAGGCCGGAGATTTTGAAATGGCCTCCCGACCGCCTGGAACAACCGAACCTTCAACCTCTCACAGGTCACTGCCCGCTTGCTCACCCGAGGCATCAGCCCCTGGGTCTGCTCTCCCCGCTCGCTCACTGGCAGCAGAAATCCGTGAAACCAGCAGAAATGACCGATGGTATTAGATTGCAAGTATTAACTGCCACCTGGACGAGCTCGAACTTTCTTCAGATGAATGTTG